TGCTTTTCGGATCTTTCCTCCTAAACAAAATACTCAAATACTCACATGGCTCCGTTAGAATTTAGAGAATCTCAAATTGTGCTCAGAATCACCAACATAACTAGAAAAAAAAGAGATCTCTTTTTCTTTAGGACAGAAATGCTATAGCCACTGTAATTAAAAGAATATGTGGACATCAAAGAGTACGTGTTTGAGCTTTTTCTCAAGCGTTTTCTTTAGAAAGTCTTAAGGTCCTTGCACACTGAGTCCGAAACTTTCGTATGCGTTTTCCGTTTTTTTCATATGCGTCATCCTTTCCTATCAAAATGCTTGCTATGGATGCGAAAACGCAGAAAATCTAACCTGGTCCGAATTTTTTAATGACGGATGAAAGTTTCAGAGGCAGTGTGTAAACGTGAGATCGTATTTATTTTTCAACGTGCGAAAATTTCGGACAAAAAATTCGGACTCAGTGTGCAGAGACCTTTAGCGCTGGACGATATGACCTAAAATCAAAATCTCGATTAGTTGAACATTTTACCTAGATTATGATTAACGCTTATTTTATTGAATTATTTATTTGCCCTCATAGTTGACTGACAAGGTTTGTACTGTAAATATGCTATCGGTTTAGAATAATTTTCGATTATTCGTCCAGCCCTACAAAGTCTCCTCTGTGTCTAGAGTTTGAGAAGATATCTCAACCACATCTCAAACTGTGCTCTGACTTCATATCAAATTCTGCCGTCAAAAGACTCACCATCAAACTCAGTTCCAAAAAGCAACTACCTCATTTTATTTCTCCTAAAGAATTTACAGAGAAAACACCTGGGACAAAACTGATACTTGATAAGTAGCCATCTGAGAAGCTCATGAAGTCTCCTGAGCGCTGAAAGAGCAACACACTTCTCCTGAGGGTAACGACATGACGCCGGCACACAGTCTTTGGCGTAGCGCTGAGAGCGAGAGAGAGAGAGGATATTTTCCTTCAAAGAGAGCGCTGCGGGCTTAATTTGATAATCACCACCATCATCATAATCTTTATGGATATCAGGACGGTCACAAATCACAACACTGCGTGCGCTCTTTAAAGCCCATGGGACAGAGCAGACACAAAATAAAACAAAAACAATCTAATGACCAAATCCTCAATCCGACTTTCCCTTCTTTAGCCGTCCATCCCGCGCTGAGATAGCAGCTCTCAGGACGGGCCGGTCAGCCCTCTAAAGGAGCTTACAGCACTGCTGCCCATTACTGCTCTAATCCTCAAAGTGCTGCCACCACAAAGAGCAGCACAAACAGCCTCCTCTTCACGTTTCTTCTCCTCATTTCTCTCTCTCTCTCTGCAAATGCATGTGCTTCTCTGAGGGTCGTTCACAGCACCTTGAGCCCTGTGACCCTCAGGAAAATACATAAATTACACTATACAGACTCCATCAAAGAACGGCATTCATCACTGTTTATCCTCTTCATTCACATGGTTTGAGCTTCAACGCACGTCTCTGCAAAAACGGCATGCAGCACTTTGACTTTAACAAGAGAAGAGTCACTGAAGGGCAATTTTACTGTTGATTAATTTGCATGTAATATCTAATGTGTATAATATGATGATTATTCTATGTATGCCATAATACGATGTTGTGTCATATTATAGCATGCAGTATCTAGATACACACGTTCGATCTCTCCTGCACATCTTTTTCACACAATGATATATTATTCACATAAGCCAATAATTATTAGCTGCACTTTGAAAGGTGAACGGCTCAAGCTTTGAGTATTGCATTACAACGCTTGAGAGAGTAACGGCTGCAGCACTGAGGAATGTCAATGTGAAATGTCCTTAAGGACACTAGTGAACAAAGTTACTCAACGCATAGACCACTGACTAGGGCTGGGTGTTGACACAAAATTTCACAATTCATTTCAAACCTTGGGGACTGATTCAGTTTCAATCTTGATTCAATTCAATTCAATATTGATTCATTCGGATATACAGGCAAAATCTCTCTCAACTATAGCTGTAAACTATAGAGGGAACGCTATTTGTTGGCACATTAATACTAAAGCGATTTAAATTGCACATAAGGCAGTTTCTCTAATAATAACAATCTTATTATATAGTAAAACATATTATATTAACGTTTAATGATATAATAGTGTTTCTTCTCCAATTTGTTGTTGAAATACAAACATTTAAACAGTAAATGTCATTAAAACTTGTCTTCATGACAGATTTATTCAAACATACATTAATTGTTATTTCTAAATAAATAACAGGCTAGGTAAATATAAATACATACTCCTCTCTAAAATGTTGTTCTTCTGATGTTCATTAGTGTTCGTTTCCTGCAGCAACTAGTAGTAAAGAGGAAGAGATGATCGGTTCACGTGCCGCTTGAACTGAGGCATTACTGTCGACATATCATGACACATTAGTGCTAAAACCATGTTTAATGTTTGAATTTCGCAATAAAAACTGACAGAATTTGAAAGCTGAGACTTTGTTTCACATCAAAACTAACGAAGCACAAAGCTTATTGTGATTATTGGATTGGAGGCATGCTACAAATAATGTTTTGTAAGTTTTGTTCACGCATCAACTGAAAACAACATAAATCAATTCTTGCCATTTAAGAATCAATATCAGTTTATTGAAATCGATTAAATCAAGAAATCGATATTTTCAACCCAACCCAAACCACTGACAGCTGAGCTCAGTTTCTAATGAGAATAACTTCATTCATTCACATTCACTGAGCATCAACTCATGCTGACAAAACCACAGCATGAGCCGAGAAGACTATGTGACGCTATGCAGGACTGGATTAAAAATCCATACAGCTGCATCAGATGAAACACTAAAGCGCCTGACGTACTCGTCAGGTATTGATTTTCCGTGCATAACCTGAGAAACTTCAACTAGGAGAAAAAAACGCTGTCCGAAGACAATACCTGTCTGCTGTAAATAGATGTTGTAGCGAGTCTGCAAAATACGCGGGGCGCTCTCTCGCAGCTGCTGTGATAAGCAACTTGTGTTCGCGGACGGTGCTGTGATTTAACACAGACGTAAGGCCCTCTGTGACCTGTCAGCAACACAAGCACATACTGCTCTGCAGATGGGAAACGCTGCCGGCCCGGGTGGCACGTGAGCACCACACATTCACATGAAAACCCTTCTTTCTTTCATGTCTCTCTCTGGTCTTGTGCATGATATAAAAAAAATAAATAAATAAAAAAGTAACCTCTTTCCGTTGGTGCACATGGGAAATTAATATTAACCAATAATATTTTATTGTAAATGCCACAAGATGTTGCCTTTAAAGTCAACGTGAGACTCAAATTGACACTATTTACTTTCTTAAAGGGATAGTTCACCCCAAAATAAAATTCTGACATTATTTACTCACCTTTGTTTTAAACCTGTATGACTTTCTTTCATCTGCAGAACACAAAAGAAGATATTTTGAAGAATAACCAAACAGCTGATGGTAGCCATTGAATTCTTCCATAGTAATTTTTTTCCCACACTATGGAAGTCCATGGCTACCGTCAGCTATTTGGTTACCAGAATTCTTCAAAATACAATCATTTGTGTTCAACAGCTGTAAGAAATTCACACAGGTTGAGGATGAGTAAATGATGACATAATTTTTATTTTGGGATGAACTATCCCTTTAAGTCATGTTCCAGCTCTTACTGGGAATATGCTTCACTGATACAGATTCCTAACGATCCAAACATTTGAAATGCTTGCTTAAGCATGCTTTCATCAAAATGGGACAACTTGCTCCACTTCTTTTTCTATATGTGACCCTGGACCACAAAACCAGTCATAAGGGTCAAATTTACAAAATATCTTCATGGAACATGATCTTTACATAATATCCTAATGATTTTTTTGGCATAAAAGAAAAATCAATAATTTTGACCCATACAATGTATTTTTGGCTATTGCTACAAATATACCCCAGCGACTTAAGACTGCTTTTGTGCTCCAGGATCACATATAGTGACTTTTCATCGTCCAATCAGATTGACTGATAGATCAAATCAATTGTTCTTTTCTTGTTGGCTATTACATGTTGAAAAAATACAATGTTGAAAAAAGCTCCACACGGATGACAGGCAGTCAAGTGCTGTTCTCCAGGAGCATCAGGCTCATTCCTGCTGATTAGATGACCGTTACACCGAATCTCAGCTCTCGGGGGCGAAAACCTTCGGTGTGGAAGACAAAACACACGCTCATATTCTTCCACTCCTCCTCAGACTCACTAAACATCACTTCACATCCCATCTCTATCATTACATCCACACCGATGACAAGCGGCGCAGAATCAGCCAAAATAACGACCCGAAAGGCAAAGCATTATATTCAAATCATGAGCTAGCCGTTCACGACTCACGCACAAATGCCTTGTTAAAGTCCCACGGAAGACCTTGTTTTCCCTCGGCTGTAAAAGCGTAAACACACACACACGGCTGTAATCGGCGTCTGCAGCAGTCGGGTAAGAAATGTGCAGATTTTGCTATTTGTGTCTGAGTGCCGTTCACAAGGCTTTCCTTTAAAACCTTTTCAAAGTCGCCACGCCAGCTCCTCTAAAGAAATGCAAAAGCAAACTTTCCGTTTGTCCTTCTCTGTAATCATGTTTCTATGACAGCCTGCAATGAAATGTACTCTGAATGTACCTGAGTGAAAGAATCAAGACGGGGCTTATTACAAACACAACTCCAGCTTTGCTTTTGCTTTGAAAGCTGATTGCGAGGGAATTCTGGGAAGTGACGGTTTTCCTGTTAGCGTGTATTTGGGGGGTAAACACAGCTGAATGATATACGTTGATGTGTTTGTGTGCATCACTGCGGCTCACAGTCACGCAAACCCCCGCAGCTCATGACAGAGCGGCACATCAGGACGAGGCCATCGGGTCAATCACTCAGACACAGATGCCCTGGACAGATGTTTATGATGATGATGATGATGCCAATGATGATGATGATAGTGGCGTGGATTTACGACTCACCTTTCTCCGCGTGTCCCATTTGAGCTGCGTCCAGAGAAAGAGAAAGACAGCGATATCAGGGATTATCTCGCTCATCCACAGCGAGCGCTGATCCCCCTCTTCATTTCCATAACACGCTGGCATAATTACACCAGTCACTAATCAATCTCAGCCTCCCGTAATTTGCCATTTGTCATCCGTTGCTTTTGATTACTCTAATAGAATTAATCCGAGGGTTAGACTCACTGATTAATTAATCAGCAATTACACAGACAGCTGTATCCCCCCACCAACCCCTGCAGACGAGCTGCTATACAGTTACAGTCAGACAGATGTGAGCATCACCCCAAATCACAAGATTAGATGTGCTGGAAAACATTTGTCTCAAAACAGAAACTTTTATGATTTATACAAAATGTCTGTTTAAAAAGAAAACAACACAGTTTAGCTTCATCTGACCTCGTACCTCTTACATTTTCTTTATTTACAAAGAGACCAACAGTAATAATGATGATGGTGGTAATAGTGTGGCGAGAACAAAGTGATTCACATGTTGTAATTGAATGTCTGATACCGTGAGTCGACTCAGAGAAATGTCGAGTGACACATTTGGAAACACTATCAAAGCTAAACTCATGCATTTCTCTCATCTGAAAACATTTTAACATTGCAACAGCTTTACTTTATCCTCATATCTGCATAAAAACAACTAAAACATCTGACAAAAGTATTTCATGTGCTAGTCTTGACCCAATATATCATGATGCTTTACGGTCACATTTGTGCTCCAGCTAAAACTGCTCTATCCTAGAATAATGACAACTAATATACTATATATATATATGAACTGATTCTGACTCTCAAAAACACTCTGCAACAAACTCCTGAAAGAAATTACCAAACGAACAGAATAAAAAAAAAATACAATTTTGATCCTGCATTTTGAAAAGTTCATCAGGGTTTCTCTATTTTCCCCGAGTTCTAAAAATCCTCAGGCATTACGCGCAGAAATCCTGTGGGAACTCATATTATAATGTGAAGCCAATCCTGAGGGACGCTACTTGGAAGCATAACATTCTAAAGAAACACATTCGTACAGATTGCTCTATTCTTAAATGAATAGCCCTTTACTTTTTACCAGGACTTAGAAAACTGTTTTCCTGCGAGACTGTTCAAAAGGAGGTTTCGGAGTTTGAGATTTTCGCTGAATTCCCTGCGATGTCCCACTGAACCATTCGTCGAGTCGTTAGAAATTAAATCTAGTTTTCGTGTTGTTGGACAGAAGGGAATTTCTCTCCCAATCACGACAGAAATCCCGAGCGGATGGCTGAGGAGGGTTAATAGGGTTCGGTGGAGCACTTTCACTCCGCAGCTGATGCCTGTGTGTCCCTATTCTCCAACACAAAACCAGCCCAAACCATCAGCACCCCTCACTCATCCCCTGCCAAAAGAGCCACCTGGACACACAAATGAACTTCTGAGGTGTAAACGTGCGCTCGTGCCACACATAAAGGTGCGCACGCATTCATTGCAACAGCCGCGTAAACTTTTGCTCGTTCCGCTCCGGGGATCGTTAAAGGTGAATCTTTGGCCACTTACCGGGAGTGTACTGGGCTCCTGCGCTTCCAAACGCCGTATGCAGGAGTAATATGCTCAAAATGATGGTATCCATATCTGTCGGCCGAGTTGAGAAAGTTTTTGAAAGTGTTGGGAAATGTTTCTTATTCCAGCCGATCCGCGCGCCCCATGCTCTCTCTCCGCGTCTCGCGCTCTCTCCGATACTCTGTTGAGGGGGCGAACAGCAGCACGAGGTTCAACTGTGTGTAGTTTAGTTTAGTTTGGTTACTGAGATCCTCATTTGTTCATATTGTGGAAGTTTTGGTTGTAAAAACCAAAATGCAAAAAAATACATAACACGAAATGAGACTTTCTGTACCCTCGCTGCATCTCTATAAATGGAATCCACACACAAACAAAATAAATTGTGTGCTCACCCAAAACAAAATTTAGCCAACTAAACAACATGAGGTTATATCTGCACTGCACGGTACTGGATGAAGCATACACACACACACACACACACACACACACACACACACACAGCTTCATCAGCGGAGAAACGACTGCGTGCTTACTCCAGTCTTCTGCTTCTCCACAGCTTACAGCAATTAATTCAGCTCGAAACACTTAATGTGCTGAAAGAGCTTTTGTTTAAAACCACGCGTAAAATCTTACTACCTGCCTGGAAAAGGTGTGTGAGAAATCTCAGCTGCACTAGGATCTGTACACGGCAAAATAAAAGCAGCCTGCACTTTTTAGCCAATCGCAAAGCTTTTCTGCCTGTCAGTCATTTTGAGTGACACTAGCAGATTAAACATATTGTGGGCGGGGTTTGGGGAAGAAGGCAGGTGCTTCAAGGGATTAGGGTTGATATACTGTGGGCAGAGTACAATGACTTTAATGTACAGACTCCATTTAAAATCTGCTTGGTAATTTAAGTTTGAGGGGTGTTGTCTATTTTTGATTCTATAAACGTTACACGTTAAATGTTCCATTGGTCAAACAAACAAAAGGTCCCGCCCCAAACTTTTTCAAACTGACTGGTTCAGACATTAAATTCAGGGTTTAAAAAATCGTAAAAACTGACACTACTGGATGAAAACAAATCTTGCAGCTAAATGAAGGCACTATTGTTTTCTGTAGAGCTCCTTTATCGCTGAATCAAATTCATTCATAATTGATTCATTGCTAATAAATGATTAATTACAATGAACTGAGCTGAATAAGGACATTATTGTCTTCTATAAAGCTGAACTGAAATTGTTTCAATTGATTTACTTTACACAGTTGTTGAAATGAATCAGAACTGAGCTGAATAATAACACTGGTGTCTTTTTTTAAAGCTGCTTATAGCAGAATTTGTCATTGACTGTTATTTTCCTGTTCATTATTGTGAAGCTGCTTTAAAACGATCAGTGTTGTATAAAGTGTTAACAAAATAAAGAAGCCTTCAACCTATAAATGGTTCAGTATCATCAAAGTCATTAAAGTTTGAATGCTTGCTCATTATAATATGCACATACTTATTTGTGATTTAATTTATTTCCGTACTGAATTGGGATTACTAATGCTTGCACCTATTAGTTGCAGAAACAATGTCACAGTTATTTTCTTGCTGTCTATCTGTATAGCCTTGTTTATCGTGTTAATAAAGCTTGTTCAAATTGACCAGAACTGCACTGAGAAAGAGAAAATGAAAAGTTGACAGAAACATAGGTGTGCGTGTGTGTAATAGTGCACAGCTGAGGTCTCAGGGTCAGAGGTCATGGCCTGTTCAGCCCCCTGCAGCACCTCGGACTCTCCTGCAGTCATTACATGTTAACAGCTGTATTTAATGCACATGCACAGTACCCAATGCATTCATGTGCGAGAGATGTTGACGGGATCACTGCGTCTCTTCTCCGGCTCAACCCCAAATTCAACCCTGCGCTACAAAAGAGCAAGAGAAGGGAGGGAGAGAGAGAAAGAGGGAGGAAAAAGTAAGAAAACACGGCAAACAACAAAGTGAGTGAGTGAGCCGCTCAAGGCTGCAGGTATTGCAAAAATGAAAGAGAAAAAAACATAGACGAGCGCTTCAAACAGTCGCTTTGATAAACAAGGTTATGTGTACATAGCACCAGAGGAGTAAAGGTAGGCCAGGTTTATTAAAATAACTGTTTTCATCTCTCTCTTCCCCCTCTGGTCTCCTCATTTCCCAGTTTGGAGCGCAGCTGTCAGTCCTGTCTGGAGCGATGAATCCAGTCCACTTCTGAAAGACACTGATTCTCTGAGCAAACCCATGCCGTTCATTATTCAGAGGCACAACAATTAAACTCTTTACTGAGTTACTTACAAGTATAACATTGCAAGTTATTCTTCAGCATCCGTTGCTAATGTTACTGTAAAACTCTCTGAGGATATGAAAAATAGATAAAAGGTATTGTGTGCTCAGGAATCCGTGTTAATGATTTAACTTAATGAGATATGAATCGTGAATAAAATAAAGCATTCTTTAATTCGGCTTGATTAAAAAATAATACAACCTTTTCCTGTCAACTGAATATATCATTATTAGTCTCTCTTTTTGTGCAGCAGTTGAATTACGTTTGGGATCTCGACTGATATTAGTGTTAAAAGTGTTCTCGAATCGTCTCTGTGACGGCCAGCATGTGTGATCCTCCAGACTGTGATGTCTTGAAGATGTGACCTGATGTTCTGACAGAAACACTGTGTTCCTATCACCAAGCCCCTCTCATTTTCACATCTGCGGCCGAATGCACCTTTGTGTGTGTGTGTGTGTGTGTGTGTGTGTGTGTTCTTCTTTATGCTACATTGTAAGGACCAAATGTCTCCACAAGGATAGTAAAACCTGAAATTTGTGACATTGTGTAGACCAGCCTGCGATCCCCACGAGGGGAAAAAATGATTAAAAATAGTAAATTATGTTTATCTGAAAGGGTAACAATGCAAACAGGTTTTCTGTAAGGGGTAGGTTTTAAGGTTAGGGGATTAAAAATATCATAAAAGTAATAGAAGTCTATGGAAAGTCCCCACAATTCATAGAAACAAACGTGTGTGTGTGTGTGTGTGTGTGTGTGTGTGTGTGTGCTTGTGGAAATGCCTGGCAAGTGGACTGAAAAGTCCCAGTGCCGATGGACAAAAACTGATTTGAAAATAAAAACCAAAATAAAATATTTTGTTTACTTAATATACTGTATGTGTGTGTACTGTGAATATTTATTATGAACATATATAATAATATATATATATAAATGTTAAAAATAATGCCCTTAATTACCACGACTGTGCTCCTAACATTTATAAACAAGACAGTAATATCAAGTAACATTTTAGATGGAGAATGGCCGTTGATTTTGTTTTTGCTCCATAAATGCCAAAAACACAGTGAACACAGACATGCAAAATGATACAGTGAGAAAGTCCAGTGCAGTAAAATCAAATATCAGCACTCTGGTAACACCGTTTGTGAAGAGACTTTGGTTTCACCAGGAAGATCAGGAAACATGTATGAAGGCCAGCAGACAGTCAGAAGTCAATTTTGTTTAGCTTGTTATTGTGGTGTGAAAGTGTTGTAGTTAAGCGACTGCTCCAGAAATACATCCTACAGTATTGACTGTTAGACAGTGAATCAAAGTCTCTGATGCAAAACTCTGCCGTAAGAAAAGTCAATACACACACCAACCCAAACAGACAGACTGTTACCAAGAGATTTGCAAAGGTTTTGCAAATTTGGCCTTTCCGCCAAAGCCAAACACAAATGAGCAAACAGAACACATGTAAACTCATTCTGAACCATCACCTAACGGCATGATTTACAGCAATACAGCACAGAAATGTGACATTTCTTCCATTTCATTGTCATTCCCAGCAGGCCACAGCGACCGTCTTTATTTACATTCGTAGATTTAATATGTTTGAGGAAGTATCAAATGGAAACAGTCATAAATGATATTTTTTCAATGATGATTTTTCATGTGAAAATGTTGGCTGCGAACATGCTGTTCCTCTCATACTCCACATCTGTTCAAATAAAGATTTGTATAAAGTACAGATGAGTGCTTCATTTGCTTTTCAAAGAGCCCACTTTGTAACACTTCAAGACTTGAAGCCTGTATTGCATTATGATCTATTACAATACACATTGTGATACAGTCTTCAGAATAATTTTAACCACAGTTATAATACATATACTTTGAATTTACTAAATTGTATAAGTAATTATGAGTAATATATACTTATGTCAGATATAAAGTACTTATGAAATTACATATAAAGATGCACTGACGTCCTACTGCTTTTATTATAAATGTAAAGTATAATACATTTTCATTTAATTGTAAATAACATGCATTTAAGTATCCAAAACATTACATTCAATTCACACTCAAATATATTCTATTAACTTATGTTATTTCATAAATCTCTTACAGTTTTTTTCAATTGCTTACACACTAAAATTAAAACTTTCCCACAATTAGCAAAACCTTACACTCAAGGAGTAAAACACCGGCCTAGATTTGCACAACTGTAAGCACATTGTCAGCTTCACACTTTTTGCAAAACATTACACACAGTGATTTGCAAAACACTAAACACACTTGTATACATCAGACACAGAAGTATATCATGATGTCATTTCCTTGCACTTTCAAAGCAAAGGCTTTCAAATGAACACACCCATGAACCAATTGGTTAAACACAGCCACCAGGTGTGCACACACACTGGTGCTTAATTGTAGACACACCAATCAGGTTTAAGCACTATAAGAAGGCAACAGGTAAGTTCACCTGTCTTCAACAAAAATG